GAACAGAATGAACGAACACGCGATATAGAGATAGACTCACACGTAGAGAGCAGGTTGAGTGCTTTCAGGGTGGGGGGGGGCTGGGCAGGGAGGGCGGAGGAATTGAGCAAAACTTAATAAAAGAGAAAAAAACTCCTGGACACAGACAAGAGTGTGGGGATTGTTGCTGAGGGGAGGCAGAAGAGGGTGAAGGGCGGATAAATGGTGATGGATGGTGATTTGACTTGGGGTGATGAACACACAATACAATGTACAGATGATATATTACAGAATTGTACACCTGAGCTCTGGCTGGTGTGGCTTAGTGGATTGAGCACCAGCCTATGAACTAAAAGGTCCTGGGTTCGAGTCCCCATCAGGGCACAAGCTTGGGTTGTGGGCTAGGTTCCCCAGTAGGGGGCACACAAGAGGCAACCACACATTGATGTTTCCCTCTTTTTCTCCCTCTCTTTCCCTCTCTCTAAAAATAAATAAAATCTTTAGGAAAAAAAAGGATCATACACCCATCTAAAAACATGTACAGTTTTTTTAACCAGTATCACTCCAATAAATTCAATAAAAAGAAAAAAAAAAGAAAATCCTAAAGAAACTACAAAAAAAAAATGTAAAAGTTCTCAACCTTAACTGTGCAGAAACATTTTTTCCCCCGCTGATCAATCTTACTTTCTAGGCAGAAAAATGCTTAACTGCAGCATTTCTGCTGTTTTCCTTCTTCTAAGCCTTGCCTTTACACATTTAAATGTGTAGTATTTACTAAATGCTAACTACTAGAACTGTAGTTACATAGCATAGACCAATAACGTGGGTTGTTCGTGAATTAGAATCAATCTATAAACATGATATTAAATACTAAAATATAATCGATGATTGCAAACAAAATGTGTTTTTAATCTTGATAATTAAAAAGTACAGTTACACCCTGGCTGGTGTGGCTCAGTGGACTGAGCACTGGACTGAGAAACAAAGGGTTGCTGGTTCGATTCCCAGTCAGGGCACATGCCTGGGTGGAGGGCCAGGTCCCCAGTAGGGGGCGCGCAAGAGACAACCACATATTGATGTTTCTTTCTCCCTTTCTCCCTCCCTTCCCCTTTGTCTAAAAAAAAAAAAAAAAGGGAGATTTCAGTTGGGAAGGTATTTTCTTACAATCTCCTGGCTACCAGGGCCACTGAATTTCCCATTTGGTTTCAAGATGCGCGTGTGCATGCGCGCGCGCGCACACACACACACACGCACACCAGCATCGGTACTCATATCCATACCAGACGTGCTTTAAACTCAGTCCTTTCGGTGAGTCGCATTGTCTTACTAAGACCGTCCCCTCTGCACCGCTTGCTTGAAGATTCTAAATGAAACCTATTTATATAAAAAGTGGGGGCATAGAATGTGGGACCCTCTCGTGCCAGTAGGGCCTCAATCAGCAACCACTGCTGGTGTAGTCCCATCAAGGGGTAAACATCCAACTGTAATAATGTTATCAGATTCCAGAGTTAAGCTTCTCTGAAGGATAAGCTTTCTCCCTTCAAAGGAGGGTTGATGATCCCTCTTCTTTAGACGCTGGGAAAAGGCGGAAGACGAGTCGTAAAATGCCCCTCGGTGTCTGTGTGTGCCGTGGCGACATGGGGACGGGAGTGACGACGCTCTCGGAGACACAGTAATGGGACCCTACGCTCAGTGAGGCTTCTCAGCCAATGAAAAACAGGATGCTTTTGAAACAAGCTTTCAAAAACCCAAAGTTTGAACATTTCTTCTCCTGCAGTTGTTGGCGATTTGAACTTGTCCTTTGAGGGAGTATTGTGTTAGCCTAGTGAGGTAGGTGAGATTCCCCATGGTGACCGGCCAGGCTTGGCAAAGGCCAGTTGACCAGGGACAGGCAAAAAAAAATATGCGAACTCCCAAAGGAGAAAGAATGAATGCAGGATCTGTAACTATCCAAAGAATGTGTGTGATTTTGCTTAAGAGAGGGTTAATTTGGAGGTAAACCATTGACAACTCATTGGCTGGAAACATTTTGTAAGACTGACAACCAGTGGGGAGCCCTCCATTTAGAGTGTTTACTGGTGAGTCAGCAGCTTCCTTGGGTGCCCACAAATAAAGATCTGCCTGGTGGGAGGTGTCTGACTATCTGAATCCATCCATCCATCCATCCATCTGTCCATATCACTGACTACATTCTCACTGGAGAAGAAACAGGGGAAGTGGCTTGTTAGTCCTAAAGAACAAGGCAGCGAGGACCAATACTGCCTGTTGCACAGGCTGTTAGCCGGTTGGTTCCTTGGCCTTTAATAGAAAAATATCTATCTTAAAACACTTAATTTAAAAGACTGCAACAAGCTGGGTTTCTGTGTGTCCAGTTATCCTCTGGAGTTCAGAATAAATGATTTCTTTTTTAAGAAAGTCAGGGTTCAACTGGTTTCACCCACACGGTCAGATTTGAACTTCTTTCTTTCCCCTTTCAGCAGAACCTAACTAGGCCGTGCAACTAAAAGGGTCTGGGATTAAAATCTGGAATTAAAAATGCCATTTCAACAATAGATAGCCCAGGAAGAAGAAAAAAAACAAACAAACCAGTCTTCACATTTAAGTCACTTAGTCCTTTTTTTAATAAATTTGAATTCATTCATCAACAAGTTTCATATTGTATCTATCACTCCATTTTGCTGTTTTTTTTTTCATGTCAAATAATACCCAAAAATTACATCAATGTGCTTAAGCAAAATTGGGTTTTATCTTTACAATGAGATGAGGTCAACATGGGCATCGACCATGACAGCCATCGCCTGTTCCTTCTAGAATAATCCTGTACTTACCTTGAACACACTGACTTGTGAAGTAGAGATAGAGGACAAGGAAGACGGAATGTGCCAATGAACGGGGCTGGCCTTAGGGAGAGGCTTGGTGTGGGAGCCAGTCTTGGGGGGGGGGTCGCTTTCTACCTCGTCGTGGGGAATGGAGTGTTTTGGGAAAACAGGGCATCTTTCACTGCGGTAGAGAAGAGGTAATCAATCCAAGGCACACTAGCTAGTGACCTGGGAAAATGCAGCCACCTGGGCAGCTCTTTGCCACTCTGACCCATCGGTCCCCGCGAGGACAGCCAGGGTCCGTGCAACTGGTCCATTTGGCTTACGTAACAGGGACTGGTTTTCAGGGGCAGGGTTGAAGTAAGAATTATGGGGTAGTTTATCCTTTCAAGCCAGGAGATTCAAAGTGGAGTCTATTCTCTTTCTTCGAATACGCCATTGTGAGACAAACCCCAATGGGTTCGTGTCCCAGAGGCTGACAACGAACACCTGCAGCTGTCAAGTGTCCAACTCCTTAGAAACCAGTCCCACACCCCCATGGGGAACATACTAACCCCAGAGCTGGACAGAGGAGGGGCGCCTGCAATATGAATGACTGAACGTGTTGAAAGTTCTGGGCGCTGTAGTTAAAAACCCATGATACTGCAAGTTTACTTGTAATCGTCAAACCCGACAGGAATATGCTCATGACCTCTTTTCGAGCTCATCTCACACTCAGAGGGAAATGAAGGTCTCATGGGAAAGGCAGTGAGTCCTCTCTACACTCCGGGATCCCTGAACAAGAGCGACACTGTGTTTTATAGATGACCCGATCTGATCTGTCGTTGTCTCTGGGGATGTATGGAGTCGGGCTCTTAAATGATCTCATGTGCAGCTGAACGTGGGTCCTAACAAGTCCTCATAACGAGATTCTCCTGGACATTCGGAGGCCCTTGGAAGCATTTTGGAAAGCTGGGACTAGCTTAGGAAATTAACTTTTTATTACGTTCCGTTGTTGAGAGAGAAAGAACATTCTGTGCAAAATTCTATTTGTCTCTCCTTACTTGAGAGCTCTGGGCTGGGGCAATGCCTCCCTTTTTCCCCACCCCTCACCCCCCGCCCCCCGCCCCCGGCGACAGTCATGTCAAAGGTCCGGGTTCAGAAGCTATCGGTCCGGCCCACTCACTGGTTCCAGGAACTACCGCATCGTAACGAGAGATCTGGGTGACAACAGAGAACCAAACGCAACTCTCTCCCACCCAAACAGTCAGGGTTCTGCTTCTCAGGATTCCTCACAACGTTTAAAAAATGGAGAAGCTAGAAAAGAATTTTCTTAGAAGAAAAGTGACTTTCTTCTTCAATGGAGTAAAGCAAACACATACCCAAGGATCTTAAAAAGGTTGTTTTTTTTTTTTTTGTACAGAATATATGTTATGTATGTGTGTGTGTATGTGTGTGTAGTTACAAACACTATTTATAGTATAGCTATTATGTTAACTTCATCGCGGTGTCTACAAAGTGGTGTGTCCCAGTCCTGGTGGCAAAAGCATATAAAAAGCTGAAAAGCTATTATAACTATACCATGCAAATTGATATCCAGAAAACTTGGGGGAGTAGATCCTGTGGCTCTCCAAGCCCCGTGGGGTGTCTTTCTTTGCTATTTGGGTCCCTCGACTCTGCATCAGAAGTGTTTTGAATCACTTTCCTGCCAGAAAGGATTCATGTCCCAGTTCTGGATAGTATAAAGTGTACACTGAAATCGACCAATGACTGCATTTTGTCCACGTTCCTTTGCATTTTGGGGGTTCCTCCTTTGCACGTGGAGCTCACTCCTTGAATTACTGGAGACGGAAAAAGAGACCTGAAGTATTGGAAGGGATAATCTTCACAAATGTCTTTGTTTCTTTAACGCGTTAACAATAAGGCCACTTACAAGGTTTTTCCCAATCTGTTGAACTTTTGAGATCCCCCAATGTTACCCGTGGGGGGCAAAATAATTGTCCGAGAAAAGCCAAAGACCAAGAAATCACTGGCTAGTCTCCAGATCAAAACAAAACCAGACGGCGGGATTGGGGGGCGGGGGGCAGGGGGCAGGCATTGAGGGAAGGTTGGAATGAAGGCGGGGAAAGGGTTTTATGAAAATCGGTCCTGGCTTCTAGCGTGAGACTTTGCGGACTATCCTTCATCTAACGGTGCGCTTGGAGCTGTTACAGACTCCCACACGTTAAAGGTTGTTATGGCCACCAGAGGAAACCTGGTGATGGTCAGCTCATGGGGAGAGCCCGCCCCACGCCCATCCTCGGAAAGGTGGTCCCTCTGTCCTTGCGGGGAACACGGGCCCCAGCTCCTAGGGAACTGGGTGACGCTCTAGTCACTGGACAGGACAGAGGGTAAAGCATAACTGGTAGCTGGGGCTTAATTTCATAGTTCTTTTTGGAATATTTTGCTTTTTTTTTTTTTCCTCTCCAAATGCTTAACTTCACTGTGACACCTGCTTGCACAACCGTAGTCATTTCAGTTTATGGATGCCTGTGGTAGAAAGATTGTTTACAAAAAATATATCATCTCTTTTTTGTTTCTTTAGAAAGAGCTCATCTAAATAGTAAGTTAAGTTTGCGTCTATGAAACCGGTGCACCTTGTCATGTTTCAACGAGCTTTAAAAAGTCCAAATACCGATGAGGCTGTGGATCAGAAGGAAAGCAAAGTGTGTGTGGCCGGGTCGTTGTCCTTTGCCTCAAGAGAACGGTCATGGGTCAGTGGATGATGCGTGTGAGGACCGGTCACCCTCCCTCAGTGTCCTAGTCGGAGCAGGAGGGGTTGGATGTGCGTATGACACATGTCAGGTTCGGAAATGAAGGCATGAGGATGTTTCTTGGTTTCTGACATTGAACAGAAGTGTCTTAGCTTCAATCGGAATTCTAGATGACAGAAAGGAGTCACATCACAGAAAAGTAGAACATTGCATGCTGCCATGAGAGCGAGCATAAAACCCAAAATCTGGTAAATATACATACATATGCATATTATGCAAATATATTTTATAGTAACATACAATGTTATTTATAAAGAGCGATTGGTAATGGAAAGACAAGGGGGAAGGTCGTTCTAGATGGTTTGACCTCAGAGGAACAAATAACCTGAGACGTCTATGCTTCCCGTGAAAATACCAGGCCTGGGAATCCGTATAGGAGACGCGGAGCACATTTTCAGTGATAGGAATGTCAACTGAACATTGCCACTGAGTTCCCACAGGACAGGCAAGCCGATCCACTCCGACTTAACACAAAAATACACTGTACAGTAGACTACTTACAAGGAGAAGCCGTCCCGAGCGGTTTTCCCAAGATGGGTGTTCCGATGTCAACGTGGGCTCTAGCTACGTTTAAGACAGGAGGTGAGCGGGATCGCCTCCCCCACAGAACCAGCGCAGAAAAACACGTCCAATGAAAGAAACCCCATCGCCAAGAAAGCCGAAAAACCTTCGCTTAGTAAACTGAAAGAGAGGCTATGAAGTGGGTGATTCATTTGAAACTACCAACAGCACTGGATGAGTTTCTGAAGACTAAGGGAGTCTTTCGGATTGTTCAACTAAAACAGCTAACTTGTGACAAGAAAGGACACAGTTTGGGATGAGATTATGTTTCACGCCCTCATTCTCAAGGCATAATATTTAGACAATGCTTGTCCCTTTCAATTAGAAAAGAAAAAAACAAAACAAAAAAGAATGATGACTTTCTTTAAGTACGCGTTCTCTGGTAAATTTGTCCATGGCTGCAAAATGTATGTATGTGTATCTGTTTCCCTTACACCTGCATGGAAAAACATATACACATACATCCTCATATACACGTGTATTTTATATATATGCTGAGAAAGTTCACATATATATACAATTGCGTATGTATATATGTGTGCGCGCACGCGTGTGTGTGTCTGTTTGTGTGTACAGGTATAAAAACTGGACAGGCAAAGTAATATTCCACTCGGTGTTAAATGAAGTCTTTGAAAAATCAAGTACAGTCACTCAGTTGACATAGTACAGCCAGTAAACTAGGTTGAAAAGGGAGAAAGTGAACGGGAACACGATCCTGGACCACCGGTCTATGGCGTTCACGTCGGTCAGGTCGGGGATTTTGATTTTGAGCTGCGAAGACCTCCTCCGCAGGTGGGTCTTCTTGTGCGGGAGGCTCCTGTCCCCGAAGTGCCGCCCGTGCCCCTCCCGAGGCATGCTCTGTTTCCTGTACTGGATTCCTGAGTTGTCAAAGGATATTGCTGAATTCCTGGTCTCGCCCACGCCGCCCGCCACCTCGTTCATTTCGTTGTGAACCTCCAGGGATGTCAGCAGGATGTTCCCGTGAGCATCCACCTAGCGGGTAGAAAACAAGCCCGTGAGCGGCCTGCCTGCGGACAGCCGGCTTTGCCTGCGTACGCGCCGGCTTTGCCTGCGTACACGCCGGCTTTGCCTGCGCGCACCCGGGACAGACACGCAGCAACAGGGATTCTGAGGCTCCCCGCGCCTGTCAAACCTGGCCCTCTTATTTTCGTGGGAAATGCCGCTTGGGAGGTTTAACTGTGCTTTGGAGACTTTATCTCCCTGATTTCAACATTCTCACGTAGATTAGACAAAATGGGGTGGGGGGGAGCCTTTTTCAAATGCAAATTTCTCTTTATGGATTTGGGTCCTTACTGAAGAGACGGAAGTACAAATGCCTTTCAAGAGATTAACTCTGGTGTTACAACCATTTTTCACAGCTGTAGGCTGAAGAGAAAGGACCCTCTCAGTTTTTTTACGTTTGTTTGTTTTGGGCAATTTGTCCCCTTTTCTGATGGTATACAAATACCCACATTTCAGAGCAGAAACTAGCGAAGCCTCCTGAAAGGGCAGGACCCCTAGGTGGGGTGGATTCAGACCCACCAGGTCTACACCCACCAAGGTGGAAGATGTTTTTTAAAGTAGTAATGTCGACATTTATTCTTTTCAACAAGTGATGTATTCCACATTAATTACAAACTTGGGAGAATGAGACTATTTTCCTGAAGGTAACCCCTTCCCCCCAAAATTAGCTTAAAACACGACTCTTCTCTACATTCTAGGTAATGTTTTAGACACAACAAAACTGTGATTTGAAAAGCCCATGTAGGAAAGTGGGATGCCTCACTGAAGACATACACTTGAAGGTTCTGGATCCTTCCTTCTCTGGATTGCTCACGCTAATGCTCCTGCTCACGGGCTCCGTGCTGCGCCCTAGGCTAGGTGAGGGGATGCGCAGGAGCAAGTGAAGGTCCGCACCTTCATGTCGTCTAGCAGGAGACAGCTTCAAATAATCAGCAAATGCATTTCTAAAAATCTGCATGTTGCACCCTGGCCGGGTGGCTTGGTTGTTTGGACTGTTGTCTGTACACCAAAACGTTGTGGGTTCGATTCCCAGTCAGGGTGGGTATGGGAGGCAACTGATTGATGTTTCTCTCTCCCCACCCCCTGCTTCCTCTCTGTCTAAAATCAATAAACACATTCTTGGGTGGGGGTTTAAAAAAGAATTAAAAACCGGCATATTGTCCTTTAAACACATTTTAAAAAACACACCTACAACATCATCCTTGCCAGCTATCAAAAAGGCCATATGAAAAGCTTTTATCAAAGTCTGGGTGATTATGATAAATAACTTTGTACAACAAAAACCCAAATAAAGATATGTCTTTCCTTAAAGGAATAGAGGGGAGTATTTTGTGACACGTTTATTGAGATGACCTTCGATGAATCTAATGACTCAGTTTCCCCTGGCTTGAAAAAGAGGGAGTTTTCTCACTTTCCATGAAGAAAGTGAACATCACTCCATCGGTGGAACTGAATTGGTGGCAGATACCCCACGTTCATAGACACACGTCCCCGTGGACATTTAATTTAAGGAGGCAATTAGAATCATTGATTTCAACATAGGTTTTCTTCCTGCTCCATAACCATGACAGGTATAAATATTTAAACTCAAAAAACATCCCATGCAAAATCTATCACAGAGGGATTTTCGTTTTTTTCCTAAAAACACAGTAGATGTCTCATTGTCTACTTATCTCCAAGATTCTATGGGAGTAAAACATTCTAGTGTTAGAAGAAATGAGAAGGTAGTTGTCATTTAGGGAGTGGCACCTAGCTTTTTAGTAAGAGGAATAATGTCAAGTTTGCAAGAAAATGACTTCCTGCCTCTTGATGGTCACTTTGTGAAACACTGCAAGGCCGGCGACTGCATCTGCAGCCGGGCTAGCTCTTGGGTATAGAAACAACTAGGAACAAATAGAGGTTAAGCAAAAATAAATGGAGGTCAAGGTGCACACGACGCCGCTGGTCTGAGGAGCAGGTAAGGGACTATGTGGCCATTTCGAACATTCCCGAATCAACCCCCAAGTTAAAATACTGTATAACCAGTGGGTATAAGGAGAAACAAGGTCAGGGCCCCAGAGGCGGTTGCTACTGGCATAGATCCCTCTTTGGAGGTCGGCAGAGCCTCTGAGAGCTGACATCCCTCATGGGGAAACACAGTCTTAGGAAAGATAGTGAGAGCTCAAGTCCCTGCTGTCATCTAAGTGTCTCCCAGGCCAGGGAAGTGCAGCTGCCCAGACTCAGGGCTCTCAACTGTAACATAAGGGGGTTCCCCAAAGCATTGTGGGCAAACGGTCCTCAGAGATCACACTGAAAATGAATGAGTGACGATAGTTATGAAGAGCCCGCAAGGATGTCGGCCAGTCCACGGTGCTAATTTGGTTTTGCATCAAATGTGTGATTTATTTTCTCATTTTCCTTTCATTCATTACCATCATGTGATATGGACTTTATTTTTTTTTGGGGGGGGGTGGCTCATTTCTACATTAAAATTATCACTAAATTCTTAGGTCTGGTAGTCAGCCACAGTTTTGTGCATTGACCTTTAACAGCATCACATGAGCGTTTACGTTTCTGGAATGTGCCTCTGCGGGGTGCAGATTGTTTTGAGCTAAAAGCAACGTGAGCCACAGGGTCAAGAGAAAGTTGTGCCCCAAGAGAAACTTGAATTAGGGGCCTTGCCAATAATGGGAGATTGTCAGAGAGGACCCATCTATAGGGCAGAGCTAACTTCTGTTTATTCAAGTCTGTTCTTATCGTTCTGTGAAGGCTCTTTGAAGCCCCCAAGGTGCACAATGTCATCTTAGCTGAAGGTGCATGACGTCATCTTAGCTGAAGGTGCATGACGCCATCTTAGCTGAAGGTGCATGACGTCATCTTAGCTGAAGGTGCATGACGCCGTCTTAGCTGAAGGTGCATGACGCCGTCTTAGCTCAAGGTGCATGACGCCATCTTAGCTCAAGGTGCATGACATCATCTTAGCTCAAGGTGCATGACATCATCTTAGCTCAAGGTGTATGATGTCATCTTAGTTCAGGATGTCTTATACACTCAGATCATCATTTCTGTCTCTGAACCTCTCCTGCATGTGGGGTCTCTGACTCCCTTACATATGCGAGTTTCCATACATACATATGTGTTAACTTTGGTTATTTTCTCTTGCAAAAAATAAATAAATAAAACCAGTAAATATACATTTGTAAATAAACAAACAAACATGCATTTGCATGTTGACTGCAAACCTTCACAGCTGATGCACAATTACAGGAAAAAAAAAATGAACATGTAAAAGCTTTAACAAAACAGCTCGGAAAACAGAAACACATTTTCAGAAAAACAATAAAAAATGGATCATGGGTGAACTGAAATTTTTTGCTGGATCTGATTTATAATATATTATTTCTATAGTCTGTTAATTTTCTCTGTGGATATGGGAGATTTTGGGTTTTTGTTTAAAATTGTATGCTTCACACCCCAAAAGGTATTTCTGTAGCACAATTTGACCGTCCTAAACTGTCTCGTTTAGAAGAAAGGAAACAAACTGGTAATTTGTTTAAGTTATGATGAAATTTGGGAAAATAGCATTGTGTGTTTGTGTAGCAGAAACAATAATGGTGTGATGAAGCCTAGTTTCTTTCTTTTTTAAAAAAGATTTTGTTTCTTTTTAGAGAGAGGGGGAGGGAGAGAAACATCAAAGCGAGAGCGAAGCATCCATTGGTTGCTGCCCATGAACCCAGACCAGGGATCAAACCTGCAACCTAGGTGTGTGCCCTGGCCAGGAACTGAACCCACAACCCTTTGGTTACAGGATGATTCTCCAACCAAGTGAGCCACACTGGCCAGGCCTGGAAATATATTTCTGAGGACTTGTTGGGAGGTAAGGGATGGAAAGACCAAGACATAAATGATACAGAAATGATAATGTGCTTTCACTAAAATATTGTATATAATTGCAACAATATATTGCTTTTATTAAAAAATAAACTGAAATGTCACCGAATGGCAAAGTTGCATTATCATTGGAAGAATGTAAGAGCTTGCTGAAGTGGGGCAGAGGGGTGGGCCTAATTTATGCCTCCTTTGGAGAGGGTGGCCGAGTGATATCTGAAAGCAGCGCACCGTCCTTGGCCGCTGCTGTTCCGGTCTGCCTGACCCTGGCTGACACCCAGTAGGTGGCGGGGCAGGGACCAAACCATGACAACCCCAGGGCGGCAGACTGCTCCTGCCTTGCACTAAGGACCTTAAACCAGGAAGCTGAGCCAGCTGGGGGTGGGAGAGGGCAGGGACAAAAGAGGGGTCTTCCCATACTGCCCCCCAAAAAGCACCATGCTGGGTCATCAGATTTGTCACATTAACACCTAAGAATTTCATTCATTCCAGCAACTACATGGCCTATTCTTTTCACAGGAAATGGGGAAGCTTCTGCAATGATTTTGGTTCTATATAGAACTCAGTGACTTGCCCTGGCTGGGTGGCTCAGTTGGTTGGAGCATCGTTCCTTCCACCATTAGGTTGAGGGTTCGATTCCTGGTCAGGGCACATGCTCAGGTTGAGAGTTCGACCCCTGGTTAGGGAGTGAATGGGAAGCAATTGATGGATGTTTCTCTCTCACATAGACGTCTCTCTCTCTCATCAATAAACATATCTTCAGGTGAAGATTTAACAAATTATTTTTAAAAATTCAGGGACTTGCCAGAGGCAACCTTTCAGGTTATGAGCAACATGCCCACATGACACCTCCTCAAAGTCATGCCAGTGACCGCGGTGATGGACGAGCACTGGGGTCAAGGTGAGGTCTGTGAATGGAACTGGTGGATGGTCAAATGGTAGAGGGCCTACCCGGTTGCTTTCGCTCTTTGAACGGTCGTTCTTGGCCTTGGCTGTCTTCTCCGCAAGCTTCTTCTGCCTCTGCGGGCCTCTTCCAAAGAAAATGTAGTTGACAAAGGCGTACTCCAGGAGGGCCAGGAACACGAAGACGAAGCAGCCCATGAGGTACATGTCGATGGCTTTGACGTAGGGGATTTTGGGCAACGTCTCGCGCAGGTGCGTGTTGATGGTCGTCATGGTCAGAACGGTGGTGATCCCTGCAATCAAAACACAGGAGTGAGCGACCGAAGCTCCGCCCCTCAATCCCTCCCCGTTCACTTTCCCTTCGTATTTTCTCCAACAGCATGAAGCAGTTAGAAAAAAAAAAGGGTTGCATATTATCGGGCGATCAAAATGCAATAGAGCACACGGTGTGTCGCTGGACAACAGGCCATGTGTCGCATCGGGACACTGATACCTGTCCTCCCTGCCAGGCACCACGCTGCCTCTGGGGGGCCGCAGACAGAACAGATCTGAGACTGAGGGAGAGGGGCGTCGGGAGGCAAAGACGTTGGCGGACGTTGGAAGAAACGAAAACACACATAAAACACTCAGTGTTTGAGTGGGAAACTTCTGGAAAGAAGAGTGCATCTATGAAGAATCTGAGGGCCTAAGAAGGCGTCTAGGACCGGAGGGAACAAGGAGATGAGCAGTGTTCAGGGAGAAACAAAACGATTCTTACTACCATGCTTATGAGGCAAGGGGAAGAGATAACAGGGTATATGATGCTAAGGACCTGGTCCAGTGAGCTCAACCAGGTGGCCTAGCTGAGCGAAGCCCCTGAGGACAGAAGACCACCCAGAGCTGTCCCCCTGCCCTGAGGTGGAGTGTACGCAAGCTGCTCAGGACAGGCCTGCAGAACTCAACAGCTAATCATTTGAATCAGACTATCAATTCCCATCATCCTCTGGGGCAGCTGGCCAGCCCCGGCGCCTTCAATGTGTTATGCTGAATTCTTTACATAGTAGCGTGAGCAAGATCTCATTGCTCCTGCAAGAGAACTAAGTTTAGTCTCTAAAAATTACGTGTAAAGGCCACATGTTGCAATTCTCCTGTAGCCACGGGCATGGTTCTTGCCATGCAAAGAGTCCATATTGGATAATCTGAAGCCACGTGGAGCGGGGGACATGTCGGGGAGTAACTGGACAGGAGCTTGTTGGCCTGATGTGCGATCTCATACGCAGGGAAGGCCGGGATCCTGCACTTCTGGGTAGGAAGGTAAGCTGCTCCGCTGCCATGTTCTCCTGGAGAACGGACTCTCCGAATATGAACAAGTCCCCAGGAAGCAAGGCCACGCGACTCCGTGGCCCGGGCCAAAAGGGTCTGCTCTTTTCTATGCGCACACCTGGGGCCACCGATGAGATCATTCCGGCGTCTTCCAGGCCCCAACGGAGAGAAATCCTGCCTCCTTATTGCTATTTAAGACCGATGGTCCTCCTGCCACGCAACCTGAAAACCATGATGTTGCCGAGGCCAGGGTGGAGTGCAGGTGCAGGGGCCAGCGCTCCCAGGAGCCGGGCAGAGCCCAGCTCGCCTCTGCACGTGGCTGGGCCGGTGGCCCTTCGCTGACCGCTGAGTCCTGTCTGACTCTGCGGAAGGTTTGGCTTTGTTAGCCATCTCGCTTTGATGCCTCTGTGGAGGCGCGCGTGCTCATGCTCGGTGCCCCGCAGAAAAAACCTGCAGGCCACAGAGCTCGTCCTGGGGAGTGGAGCGCAGCCGACCTCGTCTCTCTCACATGCTCCCTCTCCGCCCGGCTCTGACCTGCAGGGAAGACCCCGAGGACTCAGGGACTGCTTTTCTGTAAAGCTGCCCACCACGAGCAGAGATCAACGATGTCCAAATAGATTCAGATTCTCCTGAAACACAACGTTATGGGCCCCCGGGGACTTTTGAAATCTGGAAACGGCAATGGGATCATCAGAGTCACAAATAAATGAAACGGCGGGCAGGCGCTGCAAACTTCGGTGGTCTTGCCATTAGTCGAACATATTCACTGTTGCTGCTACTATTGCTTTTTGCTTCCAACTGGATTGGGGATGGCGAAATGCTTTGCCTGAGGGGCTGCTTGGCGCTCCAGGTGACTATTTTGAGTAGACATGCATTACACAGGCGTCCCTGGATGTCCCTGCCAGGGAATGGGCAGGACAAATCCAGGGATGGGGACAGGCAGCATACGTCACAGGAACTCTTGGGTGAGGACGCATGCTCCAGGAGCCCGCGACACGGAGATGTTGCGGTGAGCGCCCCAGTCTTTCCAGTTTGGGGAGCACATGATCTGGTAGCTGAAGAGGTGATGCATTCATTAACTCTTCTGTCCCCTTCCCTCCTATCAGGACGCCGTGGGTGGTCGTTGTGGACAACAGTGGGTCACAGGCTGGAGCACAGGACCCCGCGGCCAGTCCCAAAGCCCAGCGCTGCCACTTCCCAGCGGTGTGACCTCCGTGAGACTGGATCGGTCCAGAGTGATCGTTGTAGCCCATGGGCCACAGGTGGCCCAGGATGGCTACAAATGCAGCCCAACACAAAATCACAAGTTTACTTAAAACCTTCTTTTGCTCCTCAATTTTTGTTAGTGCCTGTGTATTTAATGAGTGGCCCAAGACAACTCGTCTTCTTCCAGTGTGGCCCAGAGACGCTCCAAGATAGGTTAGCATTGTTAATCACATTGATTATCATCCTTACAGGAAAATAAATGCCCTCACAGCCTCTGGTTTCTGGGTAGCCTCGCCGTGGGAGACCCCCACGCCCCATATGGCTGCGTGGCAGCCCCTGCTGCTATGGTTATGCTGATGAAATATTGTACTTGAAAAACTGCATTTACAAAGATGGCTCTGATATACAACTACGTGCGTAATTGACACCGTTTCCTCAGACGCCGTCTCAGGTGTCTTCTCTGTGATCAAAGTCATCATGTGGCGTAGGATCTATTTCGCCTTTAGAAGGACCGACACTGTCCTTCACTGGCGAGTAGATATCGGGGTTTTGAGGAAAATCACTTGATTACAACTGCCGACTTTGCGGGCTGGTGGCTTCTGACGCTGCCGGATCAGCGGGTCTCGGGCCGCACTCCGGGCAGCAGAAGCATCAGAAGCGCACAGAGCAGTTGTGCAGCTCAGCTGGGCGGGAATCCATGCTCCTTTGCAGGAGAAAGCAACCGCAGACAATTCGGCTTTGGCCGCGCCCTGAGCCAGAGCGGTGGCTCCATGGGGCCTCTGCTGAGCACCCGCCCATGTAGACCTGAACGATGAAGACCTCATTTTTAAATAAGGCGCAGAGCCATGGCCAGGTAGCTCAGTCGGTTAGAGCATCCTCCCAATATGCCAAGGTTGCGGGTTCAATACCCGGTCAAGGCACATCCAAGAACTGACCAATGAGTGCATCAATAAGGGGAACAACAAACTGATGTTTCTCTCTAAAAATCAATCAATAAAAAATGTACGAGGTGTAGCAATCGATGAGACATCTGGAGCCAGCGTGGTGGGAGGAACTTCTCCAAGTGAAGCCTTCCAAAGCATGACCACATTCTCTTAAAAAGGTACAGAGTATGTCCTGGCTGGTGTGGCTCAGTTGGTTGGAGCGTCATCCTGTGCACTGAAAGGTCACAAGTTCCATCCCCGATCTGGGCACATGCCTGGGTTGCAGGTTTGGTTCCCAGTCAGGGTATGTACCAGCGGCAACCGATCGATACTTCTCTCACATCGATTTCTCTCTCTCTCTCTCTCTCTCCTCTTTCTTCTAAAATCAATAAACATATCCTCAGGTGAGGATTAAAAAAGAAAAAGTGACACAGAATACTCCTTGGCCATAAGAGAGAAAGAAATCTTACCCTTTGCGACAGCATGGATGAACCCAGACATTTTTATGCTCCGTGAAATAAACCAGTCAAAGAAATACAAATACCATAATGATTTCACTCATATGTAGAACAAAACGAAAGAACACACCAAAGAGAGACAGACTCATAGATACAGAAAACAGATGGACGGCTGTCAGAGGGGGCGGGGCTGGAGGGTTGGGTGCGAAAGCGGAAGGGATTAAACAAAAAAAAATAAAAACCAATAAAATTCATAGACAGACAACAGTGTGGTGATAACCAGAGGGAAAGGGAGCAGAAGAGGGTAAATGGGGGAAAATGGTGTGGAAGAGGGTGTGACTTGGGGCGGTGAACACACAATGCACTATACAGATGACGTATGGTAGAACCGTACCCCTGAAACCTATATAATTGTATTAACCAATGTCACCCCAATAAGTGCAATTAAAAAGAAGAAATCCACTTGCATGTGCTGTAATGAGCTTGGACTTACTACAACCCACTTCAGAGAGACTATTTAATGATCGTGGAAGGCGCTGTTTGATCATTAAGGAGCTATAGAATTTTTCTATTGAGAAAATAGAAAGAGAAAATTCTATAGGAGCTATAAAATTTTTATATTGGATAAGGCGTGCGTTTTTAGAGCACCTCACTCCTACGGCTGCAGATAATTATGGGTCTCCAGTGCTCGTATTTCTCATTATCTCAACAACAAACAAATGTCTGAGGCCAATTCGCTGGGAAGCTCCCGAAGCTCCAGCTTCAGGTCAAAGGCTTCCTCCGGCCTGGGGGAGAGTCCCGCAAGTTTCTATTTCTGTATTTTTTTTTTTTAAATTCCTTTTCTTAAAGAGATGCCCCTGAAATCACCTACGCGAACAGCTCTACAAACTCTGGATCTGCCCCTGCAAATTCACTTCCGCTCTGACCCTTCCAGGTGAGAAGAAGAGAAGAGAGCTGAACAAAGATGAATTTAGTACTGCGCCCTTTAGAAATACAGGGTCCGGCAGAAGGAAGGCCGTCCAGCGCAGTTGGTGGGACACGTGAATGTCTTGTATAAGATGGACGGCAATTTGAACATTTCGCCCAAAACGCCCTATGGTGTGCTTGAGTGTGATATTGTTATATGACAGGATTAGGTGCTTATGGTTTTGGATTGCACGATTTTTAATGGCACAAAAAAAAGGGGCGTTATTTGTGCCGGACCCCCCCGTCTATAGCAATTAAGTACACCATGTTCAGTTTTTTGATATTTTTTTCTCCAAGGGTTTTTTTCTTAATTAAATTTATTGGGATGACATTAGTTAATAAGCTCATACAGGGTTCAAGTACATTCCTACGATACATCATCTGTATATTGCATTGGGCGCCTACCCACCAAAGTCAAGTCTCCTTCCGGCAGCAGATATTTAACGCCCTTGACCCCTAACTACCCGCCTTCCCCCTGGTAACCACCATCATACTGTTGTCTGCGTCTATGAGTTTTTGTTGGTGTGTTTTTCTTGTTTGTTCATTTGTTGCTTTCAGTTTTCTATCCCACATGTGAGTGAAATCATATGGTTCTTAATTTTTCTGACTTATTTCACTCGGCATGTTATTCCCATCGTCCGTTCATGTTGGGGCTTCATGAACGGCAGGACTTCACCTTTTCTTATGGTTGAGTAGCGTTCCATTGTATATGTATACCGCATCTTCTTTATCCAATCATCTAGCAAAGTGATTTTTACATTCAACGAACACCTTTAGAAATAGCTACCTGAGTGTGTTAGGTCATCGTTGTATGTATTTCATGAGAAAAATAGCTCATCTTTTAAAATTAATTTTAGAGAGAAAGAGGAGAGAGAAACATCTATTTGCTGTTCCACTTATTGATACATGCATTGGTTGTTTCTTGTATGTGCCCTGACGGGGGATCGAACCCACAACCTTGGCGTATCGGGACAATGCTCTACCCAACTGAGCTACCCGATCAGGGCAAATATCTAATCTTGCCTCTGACTGTGCGAGTCACGTACCTGTGCATCCAAAGCAGCACACTCACGTGCACACATGTACACACAATCTCCTGGAAAAAATGCTTACCCAACTTAAAGTCCTGGGAAAAGATGGGAAACAGCCAAAGGAAGAAAGAGGGAAAACTGAAATCCTGAATTCTCATACTTCTCTGTAAGCTAATTTACCAGCAAATGTGTTAATTCATTTCAATCGATTCTAAAAAGGAGTCTCGATGATTCTACTTTCAGAAATTAAATTAATACCCCCTTCCCCCCAAAAAAAATAGAAAGGATGGAATGGAATAATTGCTCTTCAGCTCTGAACTTACCTAAAATGTATTTGAATGTTTACTTTGTCCATGCATTTTCATAATAATGAGCTGAGTAGAGAATAATCTTTCTGACAATACAAGCCTTCCCTCAATCATCAATATATATGAGGAATAATATGGGAACTTAGACTATTTATTGTACATCAGCTGCTAATTGTCAAATAATCAATCAGTGGCCAGAAAAGGTCACCACCGCTGGGGATCCCCCAGAATCTAATCACATATGTTAATGCTCATTAAATTGTGTAATTCCAATTACACGTTATAATATTTGACTATGTTTCTGCCTTAAAAAAGAAGAAGAATGCCTAATTAACCATGTCTCCTTTCTGGGCCACAGAATAATTCTGAACAGGCGATGTTAATCCTTGCTTTAAACCAAGTGTCAGAAACAGTTTTATTATGCAAATATTCAGCGAGTGTATTTTTCCCTGGCGTGGGCATGAAAATTCACATTGGAGCCCGATAATTAAATTAACAGCACATCAAAGCAATCGTGCGTGAAATTGAGTGCCCCCAGATAGAAAGTGACGCTGCGGGCAAGGCTGGTGTCGTGATGGCAAGACACCGTCGTTGAACTGTGGCCTCTGAACTCCCCAGGGTAATGACACGGTTACTGTCTGTTTTAGGGATCACTTTCGCACAGCACGTACCAAGGGCAACTCTAGCCGCAGATGCATCGTAATTGATCCAGAAGGACACCCACGAGAGGATGGTGATGAGTATCGAGGGCATGTATGTCTGCAGAATGAAGTATCCGATGTTCCTCTTCAACCGGAAGCTCAGAGAGAGCCGCGGGTAGGCACCTGCGGAAACAGACGGGGGTTACTGCTCGGGATGTGTGACAGACACGAGTTTGTGTCTGTCCTTCAGGGGTCAACCGCACGCCTTTGAGAAGCCCAGGAACTGAGGGGTGGCCCCCAGCCATTCAGAGCTGCGTGGGGGACGTTCCTCAGTCTATAATGATGATGATAATCTACTACAGCAGGACACTCAGCTGAGAACTAACCCTGCCAAACTTTGGAAGTGTTTAGCGTCAAACATAAATAACGGCAAATAGTCATTTTTCAATGAATGGGTATCCTGTTCTTTGCCGTATGGATGGGGGAGGCTGGTTCAAGGCTTTATTGAGCAAAAGGCTTTTACAAGTGGTCCCCTGTCTGTGATGGGGCGCACAGATGTTGTGACTGTGCACAGATGTTGGGGCACTGGCCCCGGACTGATGGGGGTCGCTCAGGGGCACCCTAAACTCTGGAGGGGTGCACAGAAGCAGGTCTAACTTCCCAGAAGGCAGCGGCTATGCTGACTTGCTTTGCTCCAACCACAGAATGGGTGTGGAGGGCCACCTCGGAGACGTGCCTCGTCTGCTTCCTTGTACGCGAGCTCCACTGCTAATGCGACCTGTGTGTCCCAGGGAACCCAATGAGCACCGCCACTGCGGCATGAGAAGCAAGCCCCCAGATGATGCCATGTTGACTATTGCGTCGTCCTTTCTGGTTGGATTTGTTTTCCTTGGAGCAAGGCAAGTTCAGCTTGCCTCTCTTCCTGTCTGCTTCAATAGGCCACGCCACCCGTTCCAAGCCTCTCAGCTCCTCAGGGTTCTAATGGAGCTGATGGAAGGTCAACCAGTGGAAACCCAATGGGTCTCTCAAATCAACTTCCCAGCCGTTCCCTCCCGTGCTCCCTGATGGATGGAGCTCTCTTCCTGACACCGCTGTGCCCTAGGCTCAGGAGACTTTGCCTTCAGTGCCTACCTTCTACCCAAGCCTGGCAGGCCCCTGTTCTCTTGCCCCGCCACATGTCCCCAACTTGACCCCATGGCCCTTTCTGTGTCTTTCTGTTCTTTTCTTTGGCTGTCTGATTCACTCAGGTGACAACGACTTCTGTGCAGAAGAAAACTTTTAGCTCCATGTTCCCACTTGAGCATCAACTACGTTTTCAGCCAGAATGACATAAGGGGAACATGAAATCACTACAGAGACCCAGCATTTCAGGGCTGATCATTTCGGAAGTTTCTTCTGGCCTGTGTGCGTGCGTGTGTGTGAGTCTGTGTATACAAACCTGTGTATGTGAACCTGCATGTGTGTGTAGTCTCCTTACATGGCTCTGATCAAACGCCTACATCATGCTGTCATAACATACATGTTTCATACTTACTACAAATTACTTGTAAACATATTGTAATGCAAGATTCTCCAACTGTATACATACATGTATATACATTATATACATGTCAATACATACACGTGTTTTGTTTGTAAATACATTTATCTCAATGTAACTTTAGGTTATTTCCATTTTTGCAAGATTTTACATAATACTCTTAAGAATATCTTTGAGTAGACTGCTTTTTCTATATTTAGACTTATTTCCTTAGGACGAATATACTAAAAATGGAATTACTAAGCCAATGTTCAAGGCTCTTTACCTATAATGACAAATTATTTTGTGAAATAATCACATTTGTGTACAGTGTGTACATGTCATAGAAGGGCCTATCTCACCCGATAAACTTGAAAATATTACATATATTTCTTAAAAATAACTTGGCAATTTCCATGGGAGAAAAATCTGTCCTTTCATTGAATGAATACTTTGATTGAATACTTCCTAAATGTTTGTTTTTCCTCTGTATTTAATCTCACACATGATCTGATTACATTATTTACTCATTTTTCTCTTCTCTTGCTGTTTTTCCCTTATTCCCTTAAGTTCTTTCAATACTAGCCCTTGTTTATATTCTGCGTAAAAAATTTCCCAGTTGTTTGTTTCAGAACTTGTAGTAGTTTGGGTGGAAGATACATAAATGTGTAAATGTTTCTATGCAGTTAATCTGTTATTCCGTTTTTTAAAAATTTTTCAAGTTTCCTTTCATAATTTGCTTATTGATTTCACAGTAGAGATCTAACCACCAACAACCTATTTTGAAAGTTGGCAAATATCTCAGTGTTTGCTATGAAGTGAACACGCACATTGATTTTTGTTCTATAGTCAGCTCCGCAATTTCTCCAACACCATCCATGGAATAAAGCCTCGACAGAGACCTGACATGCTCTATGGTTTATATCCCACGCATATGTAGGTGACTGACAGGCTGTGCCATTGAGCTGGGCAGAGCCTTACTGTGGGCGTGGCCACCTCCAGACCCCCAAGTCTGAGCCTCAGTGTGGGCGTGGCCACCTCCAGATGCCCTGGCCCTCTGCCCCACCCACACGTTCCCAAGTACAAAATATTCTGCCATCCCAAGTACAAAATATTCTGGCCCAATGCTTGCCATAAAGGTCAAACACGCATTTAAGAATTTCATTTTCTCCAAAATGTTTCCCTAAATTAACTCCAATTTTATATTCCATCACGGCGTCTGCCTTCAGCACATTTTCGCGTCAAAGAGTGTCCCTACTGCCTCAAAGTCATTGTCCCTGTCTCCTGCTGCTGACTCACACCTCACCTCCCTTCCTTAAGAAATGTCTTCCCCAACCATCGTCCAAGGCTTTGGTTGAACACCACATCTCCCGTGGTCCTTCCTTCTTCTTCCTTCCAAATGTAAGTGATTCTCTTCTTGAGCTATTTTTTCCCCTCATTGAAATTACAATTATTACTATTTACCAGGGTCAGGCCTTTCTTGGTAAGTCAGTCCGCACGGTAGGGTTGATAAAGTAATAGCTTTTTCATACACCGTAATGTCTAGCTACATGTCAAAACCATCATCGGTTTTCTCAAATATATCTGCATGCTGATTGGATGAAAACTAAAGAATCTGGTTTATTCACATGACTCAAAACATTCAATACTGAATTTCAGTTTGAAATCCCACAGCAACTTCAATGTCTGCATGGAAGTAGCTTCAATACTGCAATTTGCGTATTTCATGCAATTTGCGGACAGCAGTTTGCGATTTCATGGCCATGGCACGCCTTCCTTGTCACTTGTCATCTGTGGCTCCTGCTTCAGCTGCCTCACCCTGGCCACCATGCTTGGCGTTGTGTCCGTATCTGTCGTGATAGGTTGGTTATGCCGCAGTGACCAGAGGCCATCAACATCTCAGCAGATGACAGCAAAGATGGTTTTTCTTTCGTGTGCTCCATATCACTCAGTTTCTGCTATTTGGGACACTGATGGACAGAGACATAGAAAGGCCACACACCCTTCCTCTCGCACGTCATTGTCTCAGGCAAGTCTTAGGTTAATCTTTATGTCCTCGGTGTGGAAAAGCCTAGTCCTTTCCCAGGGAAATACAGCCGATATTCTTGTATGATAACACAATCTATTATAGTCCCCAACTTTCCATTTTCCAAGTCAACTCTTCACGTTTTCCAAAGGACATCTCCTTCAGGGAAGCCGTTCCCAACAGAGACATGTAATGCAGTACGACTGGCACTCAGTTGGGAACCCCTGTCCCCTGTGACGTGGGGGACAGCACAAGACTGCGCCGTCAAACACTGGGAAGCTTCACTGGAGTCCTTGAGAAAGGGAACGCTAATCTGGCTTCAAAAATGCCTTAGTCTTTCAGATTTTGCCAAGATACTCCTTAACGCAGAATTTAGCATTAAGAAAAGATACCATTTTCTTATGTATTTGTTTAGTAAATCCACTGTTTGTTGAAATCAACTTCTCTTCAACAAAATTTTAGGCATTCACCACGCCCTGCTCCCCATCCTGGCCTTGTAAGGCGAAGTAGGGGAATGGTGAGCAGACAACGAAGATGGAGAAGAGAGAGTCTACGCTCTCAAGTCGCTCCCAATGTGGGTCTGAGACAGACTCCTGCAGAACTGGCCTTGGTAAAGCCAAGAGAAGAAGGGCTACACTGGACATACAGAAATATTCCAGAGCATGAGACTGATGTGGCAGATTTTATTTATTTTTAGAGAAGGAAAGGGAGGGAGAGAAACATTAATGTGTGGTTGCCTCTCGCGTGCCCTCCTACTGGGAACGTGGTCTGCAACCCAGGCATGTGCCCTGACTGGGAATCGAACCAGCGACCCCTTGGTTTGCAGTCTAGCGCTCAATCCACTGAGCCACACCAGCCAGGGCTGATGTGCATCTTAACGAGCATAGAAAAGCCTTGTTGTTGCTTTGTTAGAAGAATCCCATCATGTCTGCTGTGTCTGCGGGGGGGAACTCCCCAATGCTCCCAGCTAGTGGCTAATCATTTAGAGTCGAAAAATGGTGAGTCAGCTGTCCCAAGACACACCCTTTAAAATAGCAACGGAAGCTTTAAAATGACAGCAGAAAGGCACAGAAGCCCACAGCCTGCGTGCCAAAGCAGATGCTGAGCTAACAGACAGGGGATAGTCCCTAAGCACAAGGGCATCATTCCAACTCAGGGCTTCCTCGGCAGCGTTTGCGACTGAAGATGCTGATTCCAGCGCTTTCTCCCCAGATGCACTAGAAGTGATGGCCAGAAACAAGGCTCTGGGTCCGTAATCCAGCCTAAATTAATATTGCTCTCTAAGGCATTAGCGTTGTTGAAGAACTCATAAAGATGCACGCATAGAGTACGGTGTCACCTTTGCGGAATGGTAAGAGCCACTGAGATGTACCTATAAAGTAATAAGCTGATATTTTTGCAACTGCAGAGCTGACCTATATCTGCGTGTGCCTCTCTCTTGAAGGCCACTATGTGGGTGGCTCTCCTGGCAACGCCTAAGAAGCTCCGTGAGCTCTCAGCGCTGCTCTGGGGTCTTTATCATGCTGCCTCATTCATTTATGATCCACCTTTTTAAACAAATCCCCACTTGAGGATATGTTCATTGGTTTTAAAGAGAGAAGGGAGAGAGAGAGAGAAACATTGATGTGAGAGAAAAACATCGATCGGTTGCCTCTCATACATGTGACGACCAGGGATCAAAACCACAACTTAGGTATGTGCCCTGACCGGGGATCGAACCTGCAACCTTTTGGCATATGGGATGATGCTCCAACCACCCGAGGCAACCAGCCAGGACCACAATCTACTTTTTTACTTCATAATGCAACCCAAAATTCAAAATAGAGTTACTTTCTCAATCTCATTAACGGTCATCTTAGCTATTACACATTCAAAAAAATCCATGAAGAAAAAGAGATATACACAATAGCAAAGAGGGAAAAAGGAAAAACAGGGCTGGAACATCGGAAATTTTTTCATGGACTGTCTGAACCAGGTGATGCTTCTTTTTCTGGTCCTCACAGTAAAATCTGCAGGTTGTATCATGTGACTCTGGAGCAAACAGCAGGGGGGTCGGACCGATCCAAGCCCACCCCCATGATTTAGTTGGGATATTCTTTCAGAAATGTCCTCACATGTAAAATCAGGACAAGAATATCACACGTGGGGAAAAAAATAGATCAATGACACCTCATCAAAGGAAACCACAGCAAAAAGATGAAAAGACAACCCGCAGGATGGGAGAAAATATTTGCAAGTCATACATCTGATAAGGGAATTGTATGTAGAATATATAGAGAAGGTTTAAAAAACACAGACAGTCCAATTCACAAATGGGCGAAGGATCTGAATAGACATTTCCAATGAAGATAAGACAAGTATCCAATAAGCCCATGAAAAGATGCGTCGATATCATTACACAGTAGGGGAACGCCTATCACAACCACAGTGAGATACCACTTCATATACACCAGGGTGATCACAATCAAACAGACAATAGCCTTGGTTGGAGTGTCATCCTATAGACTGAAAGGCTGTGGGTTTAATTTCCGGCCAGGGAGCATACGCAGGTTGCGGGTTCTGTCCCCAGTCAGGGTGCGTATGGAAGGCAACTAAGTCAACCAAGTTGATATTTCTCTCTTACATCGATTTCTCTCTCTCTCTCTCTCTCTCTCTCTCTCTCTTTCCCCTCTCTCCCTCCCTCTCCTTTCTTCTCTCTCTAAAAGCAATGAAAAAATGTCCTCTGGTGAGGATTAAAAAAAAGATGGACAATAACAAGTGTTGGTGAGGATGCGGAGAGAGTAGAACCCTCAGGCGCTGCTTGTGAGAATGTCAAATGGCTAGAAAACAGTTTGGCAGTTCCTCAAAAGGTTAAACATCGTCACACCATAAGATTGAGCAATTCCATTCCTAAGTACGTGCCTAAGAGAAATGAAAATATATATCCACAGAAAAACTTGTACATGGATGTTCATAGCAGCCTTATTCCTAATAGCCAAAAGCTGGAAATAGACCCCCTGTTCATCAACCCATGAATGGTTAAACAAAATAGGATATATGTATACAATGGAATATTATGCAGCAATGAAAAAGAACGAAGTATTGCTACAAGGCTGCAACATGGATGGCCCTTGAAAATATCATGCTAAGTGAAAGAAGCCAGGCATAAAGGGCCACCTCTTGCCTGGTTCCATTGATATGAAATCCACAGAATAGGCAAATCCATAGAAATAGAATTAGGTTAGTAGTTGTCCAGGGGTAGGGGAGGCAGGTTGGGGGAAATATACAGTGACTGCTAATAGGTACAGGGTTTCTTTTGGGAGCGTTGAAAAACATTCTGAAATTGATGACGGTCATGATTACACCACTCTGTGAACAGTCTGAGAACACTGAATTGCACACTTTAAATGGATAAATTGTAGGGTATGTAAATTATATCTCAATAAATCTTTTACAAAGAAAAACAGAGTACTGGCTACTTGTATTTTACATCAAGTATCAAATACACTCTCTGGACCAAAATACACTCTCGATCGATGCAGATTCCCTCTTCTTCTCCTTTTTCTTCCTCTATGAAGTCTTCTGTGTACAAGATTGTGTAAACTAAGAGTTTTACCATGGAGTACGTTTTAAAAATTATGCTTCAGGAATTGGGGCTAATTCCCCATCCCCACTGGTTGTTGTTTAAGCTGTAATGACAGGTGGTGCCAACGCCGCTGCCCCTGAGCATATGAACCCAGAGTCCTTATAATACCTTACGGTTTGGCACTTCCGTTTATCTCTGTTACAACACACAGCATCGAGTAAGAATACAGGGAAGGCAGGACATTGTGAAATACATGTGGCTGGGGTTTAATAAAACCTTGGCAAGAACAGAAAAGGAGAGCGCATAGCTTCTCAGTGTTTGGATGGCTGAAACAAAGATGAGAATGAAACCCAGACCAGGGCAGCCTTAACCCGATCATAGTAGCAGCAGGTGACCGTGACTAAAGAGTCTAACCGAGGGTGGACCAAGTTCAAGTTCCTGGACCACCAAGGCTGACTTCTAGCCCAGAAAGAAGGTCTTTGATTTGTGGGAGGACAGCACCCACCTCCTCTGGTCCTCATCTTGCCCCTTCTTTCCTTCCTGCCTCCAAGGCCAAGCCCTTCCATCTGCCCAGAATGAGAGGTGCTTAGGCTACCAAACGTGGGTTGATTGAGTTCCCCCTCGATCTTTTAACTTCTCAACAACCGGCACCAGCAAGCATCTCATAGTCGAGAGACCTTCTACCCATCAAAACTCACCAGGCCTCTTTGGAGACAGAAAAAAGGGGCACCTGCCAATATGAATATTGATGATGGCACTGTTTTGGATGACCCAGCACCAGGAACCTCTTGCAGGGTGTCTCATAAGGAGACCCCCATAGTCCAGGTGGCCAGTGTCCCCAGGGCGTGGGAGTGGACGCAGGACTCACCTGTGGCGAAGACGACATTCCTCGAGACCAGGCGATGCTCCACAATGGAGAACTGAGGCAGCTCGATCCTCTCCACGCCGGTGACAGCCTTGTCGCCGCCACGCCAGTAAAATTCAATGTCGTCTGTGGTGTAGCCATCTGCCAGGAGAGAGAAGCAGGGGTGGGGCAGAAATGAAGCATCAGCTTGTCTATGCACCAGGTTCCAGACACTGTCTCCAGGGAGACAGAAGGAGGGGCTTGCCTCTATTTTGCTAGATTTGCTTGATGTGCTAATTTTTGAGAAGGGTCTTCAAAGAACTAACTTTCAAATATTCCAGTGTTATCTTTGTGTTGATTTAGACCAGGCTGGTGTTGCCCTGGCCAGATGGCTCAGTTGGTTGGAGCTTTGACCTCTATACCAAAAGGTCACAGGTTCGATTCCCAGTCGGGGCACATACCTAGGTGGCAGGTTCGATCCCCTGTCGGGGCACATACGGGAATCAATTGACTGAGGTTTCTCACATCAGCGTTTCTCTCTCTTCCTTCCCCTCTTTCTAAAATAAATAAAACATACTCTTGGGTAAAGATTAAAAAAAATTAGAATAGGCTGGTGTTGGAAGTACAAAAACTAGGGAGGCAGGCTGAGTGCTCTGACCAGAATTCTGTTCACACAGCGTAACTGTAGAGCTGGCTTGGACGCTGCAGAGAAACGAACTGAAAACATATATTAACCCTGAGTAAGATGGTTGTAAGAAAAGATGAGAACACAAGTATGAAGAATTCTGGAAAGGCAACTCTTCTCAAAAGCTACTGAAAAGTTAAAACACTGAGGGTGATTTTAACCCATCGATGCTGGGCAACATCAGAAACTCTCCAAGCAAAAGTAGTGTTCTCGGCATTTCTGGATGGTTCCACGAGGTGGCCGTCCTTAGAAATGCTTTTTGTAGGGGCACCCTTGGCGCTTGGAGATTGGCACAAAGGTCTCATGTGCAGTGGCCATGAGCTAGCGCCACACCCGGCTCCTGGCACAGCGCTTCCGGTTGGTGCTTCTGGAAAATCAGTAAATAGGATGGTGAAGTCTGATGTCGCACCCAGGAGTCTTCTAGAGGATGAGGTCAATTTTATCAGTAAGTCTGATTACAATGCACGCCTGCAGAAAAATGCCCTGCCATGATAAAGGACTTCCTGATTGGACCATACCATACTGAGCTAAAAGCAGACACGCAGTATTTGACAGGTGACACCTAGACCCAAGCCATGCGGTGGCTGGCCGCTACCCACAACTCATGCCATCCCTGAGTCCTATCTGCTCTTCTCCCGATCACGGTGGTCATACCTTTGTCTCTGACCTTCCTTCCGACTTCCTTATAGTCCATTCTCACCTTGAGGGCATGCACTACTTAATAAAACATACACAGTACCAGACCCCTCCGCTGCGTAAAACCTTCAAATCTTCTCCAGTGTAATTTGCAAAAAGTCCAAGCACCTGACAAGGGCCTCAAGAATCTACAGGATGGGCCCCTATGTGCGTCCAGTTCCTCTCCGTTGTTCACCCAGCCCGGCCCCCTGGCTTCTGGGACGCGGACCAGCACAAGCATCCACAGGACAGTCTTCGAGATCTCCTGGTCCCTCTTCCCCGCGTCTGCATGTTAACTTACATAAAACCTATCGCACATGTATGTAGTCACATCATCAGAAAATTGGGAGAATTCCTTCATCCACTTGAGTGCTTTAAGCACGGACTCTTCCGAGACACATGGCTCACACATGGTGAGGAAATCAGTCTCTTTTACAGTAGACCTTCCTGCCCATCTGCCATCTCGGTTCAAACACTGCAGTCACAGAATCTACTACTCCTTTCAGCTCACTCATGGTCTGCTCACAGTTGGAATGGCAGCTGCCTCCTTATCTGGACCCCAAACTCGCCAGCTCAATGGGGGTTGTTACCTGCGAGCCACACAGAATCCAATTTAACTTCCCAGGGTCATCTTTCAATGACTGGGCGATGACTGTGTTTCCCGTGAGCCCCTGTCCTCCACACTGAATTCCCCCAGATGTGCCCTCATGGATCACGGGCCCCGATCTCACGTTGCGGAAAGCACCGTTCTCAGAAAACATAACACAGACGTAACATGGAAGCCAGGGGCAGAGCGGGGCCGGCTCCGCAGGGAGTCTGAGCGCTGGTCTGTCACTCAGACAACTTCTCAAAGATGCTCATGCCTCATCACAAATGCACCAAGAGACATTGGAACGTCAGTCATTTGCCATCCACCAAAAAACCAAAAAACCAAAAGAACAAAAAAAAAAACCCAAACAACCCCAAAAACAAAACAACAACAACAACAACAAAAACCCAATATAAATACTGAGAAGCCGAAATCCAATGGAGACGAGTTATAAACCAGCCCGTGATTGGCTGGGATTAGTAACAACAGTACTGCCATCCAGATACGCCCGGAGATGGAGCTCAGGTAGCAGGTGGCACATGAGCCGGTGAGATTATACAGATGCAGCACCGGCCCCTCACACAGGAGTGCTCAGCACCGGAGTACCAACCAGGCATCTGAATATTCTTCAAATGGAAGAATATGGCCAAGGCGCAGAGGAGCGTGCTTGTAAAGCTGCGTTCCCTGTGGAAAATGAGTTTTACTTCAACTGCTCCAACAGGCACTCGTGCGTGATGAAGCATATTGTGACAAAATCGTCTCAGTGTTTGCTCTCTCCCCGCAGAGTGGTGCGAGATGGGTGGCATTTGTTTTCCTATGTTTCAGCAAAGCAATCAGACTCTCTTAATCAGATTAGAATGGAGAACTTTTTTTTTTTCTGTTTATTGATTTGAGAAAGAGAGGAAGGGAAGGAGGGAGGGGAAGAGAGAGAGACAGGGAGACAGAGAGAAAGGGAGGGGGAGAGAAAGAGAGAGCGAGGGAGAGAGAGAGGGAGGGAGGGGGAGAGAGAGAAACATTGATGTGAGAGAGAAACATTGATTGGCTACCGTCTGTATGCGCCCTACCCAGGAGTTGAACTCGCGACCTAGGTATGTGCCCTGACTTGGAATCGAACCCCCAACCTTTTGGTGCGCAGGACGATGCTCTAACCAACTGAGCCCCATGAGCGAGGGCATCATGGGGACCTCTTTTATTGCAGAGTGGAAGATTAAACCTTTTGTCTTTAAGATAGTTGAAAACTACGTCAAGAAAATGATATAAGCGTTGGCAAAAATGGCAGATAATGACTAGACGGCCTAAAACATAAAGTGGATGAAGAAAAGACAGAGATACGCACAGCTTTCGATTTCCAGGGTGCAGTTCTGCTCGTCCAAGGGGTACCTTCTCAGGTCCATCATGCACGCTGCGGTTGTGGTGATTCTGAAACACAAGGCGAGGAGACAGACAGCAAAGACGGGATGAGAAAAGCAGCAAGAAATCTGCTTCCGCGTGACCAATGAGCAGCCCCAATGTGGACCTCTTCTCCTAAGTGCACCTGATTCCACATAATGACAGACACTGAGTAAGGTTTCGGCGTAGGCCAGCTTTGCCAAGAAAAGCCACACAGAAAGTTTAAATCCTATACAATTATCCATGGAGTCTTGTTGACTTTGAGACAATCAAGGCAGAGAAAGGGAAGTTCTTATCTTCAGTCTTTGTTCTGCTTCCTGGTCTAGTGGCTCTCTGACCTTTACAGGACAAAGAAACCTCACGCATTGGAAACAGCGCTTATCAGATTAGAGCTGAATTCTTTGGCTTTCCTGTGACAGGTTCCAGTAGCCACGTAGCCACTGGCTGCCCCTTGAACTCTGAGCCAAGCTTCTGCTTCATCCTGTTTTATTATACTTGGTGGTTGGGCTGGATCATAATACTCCAGAGCTTTGCATCATGACATCGCCTCTCTTTTCAAAGAGGATATTTGGCTTTTTATTTGATTGGGAATCAAAATTGAGTGGGTTCATTTCCCCTGGGGTCAGCGGCAGCCAGGGAAAGAATTTACATGACGGTCAAGGTTGTTTAAGCCTCCGGTACGCCATGGTTACGTCAACCGCACAGAGAAAGGTAATACCCTTAGTCATGTCAAGTTGATTTCCTACTCCTTCTTCACCAGCAGGGCGTCCACCTGAGGACGTATCACCTCAAGACAAATGCACTCACATCTGTACAAGACCTAACAGGGAGCGAGAGCTTGCTTTGTGCCCAGCTTGGTGCTTGGCACTTGAATACTCATATACTTAATCCCACAAGAGCCACAGCACAGAGGTATTACTATTATTATTGTTATTAATTATTATTATTATTATTCCCATTTTGAAGATGAGCAATCCAAGGCTTGGAAAGAGCAGATAGATTGGTCACATTTACGAATGGATTGGAAGGTGGATGCGGTAATCAGACTTAGGCAGCCTGAATTTTACACTCTATCTCTTTGATCCCTCTTCTTCCTTAAAGTAGGAAATATGTTCAACTCTAAAAGCCGACTCAGGGAGCAGGCTTTTTTTTATTTTGAAAGGAGAGCAAATAGAGAAATGTGTTATACGTACAGAGGTCCTTTACATATATAATATATATCTAAAACGGTAGCCATGAGCCACATGTGACTATATTTAAAGTTTAAGTGAATTAAAGTGGAAGAACATTAAAAATTCAGTGTCTCCAATGCACTAGTCACATTTCAAGTTCTTAGCAGCCATGTACGGCTCCTGTGACCAACATACGGATCACAGAGCGTCTTTATCACCACAGTAATTTCCCCTGGAAAAGGCAAGAAAAAGAGCAACGAGCCAAATGGAATGGCCCTGCCCTCTACCCCAACCTCCCAGCTCCTCTCTCTCTGCCACCTCCTCCCATTCCTGCCTTGGCTTTACAACTCTTTGTTTGAAAGTGGTTGAAGACAAACCATCAAATGCATACCAACCACCTCCTCAATCCATCACCTTGACGACCATAGGCAGATATCCACACGGCATAAAAGTCAAGAGTGGAAGCTGTCATTCAACACTATGCACAGGGCCCTGGCCGGGTAGCGCAGTTGGTTAGAGCGGTGTCCCGATATGTCAAGGTTGAGGGTTCGATCCCCGGTCAGGGCATGTACAAGAATCAACCAATGAATGCATCAATACATGGAACAACAAATCAGCCTGTCTCTCTCTCTCTCTCCAAAATCAATAAATTAACAACAACAGTGACTATTCACAGTAGTATAGATCGCATCTGACTTCATGGCCCAGTCAGGTAACCCAGCAGCCAGAAGGGAGCGTCTACCCCAAATGAATAGCAATTATAGCCAGGGGGCTGAAACTTCTAACATGACAGTAACCTAAAGGCAGCCAAGGTCACCCCTATATACACTGTCTCACTAGAAACTCACTTTGTCTCCAAGGACCCACCCTGCCTGAGGAGAAAGATTCTGCATCCAGGAAGAAGCATTCCATGAAAAGAATGGAAGCACAGAAAATGAACGTTGAAAAATTTGGAAGGTACAGGTGTGGTTGTCATAAGGCACGAATGCAATATGCCCTTTTTTCAAACAAGAGCAGAGACAGAAGGAAAGAACAGCCCGAGAGGATCACAGATGGTCAGACACTGTAAAACCAAGAAAAGGATGCAAGGCACTCAGCCCCAAGTGCTCATGGGAATCTTGTGCTGCAGGCAGACGGGGGAATCGACACAGCTGAAAATCATTTCATGACGTGGATGGGCACCCACGTCACTGAGAGATCCTGTTAAAATGCGGATTCTCAGCAGAAGAGCTGCGGAATGTCTGTGATTCTCAATTTCTCAGGTGACGTTGCTGCCGCTGGTCTGGGGACAATTCTAAGGGTGGAATGGAGTCTGAAAACCGCGTGAAAGCTTCCTGAGGCAGAGGAAGAAGACAAACAGAGAGGAGGTGATGGCAGAGGACAGAAAATGGGCATGAAACGGCTTTATTAGACAAAAAGCAAAAGCAAACAGCATACAAGTCAACAAATTAGAATTAAACACAAAACAATATTTTTTTTTAAAAAACTGGGGTACAATATGCTTAACACAATATTTACCATTCTTACCATTTTTAAAAGATTTATTTATTTATTTCTAGAAAGAGGGGAACGGTGGGAGAGAGGGACAGAAACGTGATCTATGGTTGCCTCTCGCACGCCCCCTACTGGACGCCTGGCCCGTAACCCAGGCATGTGCCCTGACTGGGAATTGAACCGGCAACCCTTTGGTTTGCAGGCTGGCACTCAATCCACTGAGCCACACCAGTCAGGGCTCATTCTTTCCATTTTTAATTGGCACTGAGTACCTTCATGCTGCTGTGCAACCATCAGTACCATCCATATCCGTTACTTTTTCATCATCCCTGACAGAAACTCGGTACCCGCTAAACAGTAATTCCCCGTTCTTCCTCCCCGCCCAGGATCTGGTAACTTCTATTCTTTCTTTCTCTGTGAATTTACTCTTTCTAGGTCCCCACATAAGCGGAGTGACATACTATTTGTATTTTTGTGCATGGCTTGGCTATGCACAAAATGAGCGGCTGGGTCACCTGACTGGGCCATGAAGTCAGATGCGATCTATGCTACCGTGAATAGTCACTGTTGTTGTTAATTTATTGATTTTGGAGAGAGAGAGAGAGAGAGAGAGAGAGAGAGAGAGAGAGAGAGAGAGAGTTGGTTTGTTGTTCCATTTATTGATGCATTCATTGGTTGATTCTTGTACATGCCCTGATCGGGGATCGAACCCTCAACCTTGACATATCGGGATGCCGCTCTAATCTATTTTGTGCATGGCTATTTTGAAAACTCACCATGTTTTCAAAGTTCATCCATGTTGTGTCATGTATCAGAATTCCATACCTTTTTACAACTGAGTAATATTCCACTGTAGGTACAGACCACATTTTGTTCATCCATTCAGGTGCTGATGGACAATTGGGTTGCTTCCACCTTTGAGCTATTGTGGATAATGCTGCTGTGAATATTGGTGTGCAAGCAGCCAAACTGCTTTTGTTTCTTTTGGTAAGTACCCAGGACTGGGATTGCTGGATCGTATGATAATCGTGTTTGACATTTTGAGAAAAAGTCATGCTGCCTTCCATACTGCTGAGTGGCTTTACATAACCACCAGCAATGCACGAGGCTTCGAATTACTGCAGAACTTTGCCAGCCCTTGTTGTTTTCCATCTTTTGTATAATAACCATCCAAATGGGGGTGCAGCGGTATCACACTGTAGTTTCGATTTGCATTCCCTGAATGGCTAATCGTGTTACGCATCTTTCCACACGCTTATTGGCCATTTGTCCATCTTCTTTGGAGAAATTGGTCTGTTGAAGCCCTTTGTCTATTTTGAAATGATCATTTCTGTTTCTGTTGTTGTTGATTTATAGTTCTTTATGTAATCCAGACATTAACGACCCCTATCAGATACCGGATTTCCAAATAGTTCCTCCTGTTTCGTAGGTTGACTTTTCACTCTGTTAACGGTGTCCTTTGATGCACAGATATTTTTAATTTTGATGTAGTTCAATTTACCTCTGTTTTCTTTCGTTGCGTATGATTTTCATGTCCTATCCAAGGAGTCATTGCCAAAGCCAATGTCACTAAGCTCTCGCCCAGTATCTTGTATCTTTATCAATTTTAACTCCCCTGCAGTTACATTTTCGATCTATTTTGAGCTCACTTTGCATGTATGGTATAAGGTAAGCATCCGACTTTATTCTTTTGCAAGTGGATGTCCAGTTTTTCTGGCACTATTTGTTGAAAAGACTCTCCTTTATTCATTGAACAGTTTTGGCCTCCTGTTAAAAATCACATGCTCACATATATGTAAGAGTTTAGTATTGGCATTCACTATCCTGTTCCGCTGGCCTATGTGTCTGTTCTTAGCTCAGTATGAAACTGTTTTAATTACTACGGCTTTGTAGTAAGTTTTAAAATCAGAAAATGTGAGACCAACTTTGTTCTTCTTTTTCAAGATTGTTCTGGATATCTAGAGTCCCCTATGATTCCACATAAATTGTAGAATGGGGTTTTCCATTTGACAAAAAAAGTGAGTGGGATTTTGATAGGGCCTGCATTGAATCTGTAGATCCCTTTGGGTGGTATTGTCATCTTAACAATAGAGTCTTGCAATAAATGAACAAGATTTCTTTCCATTCATTCATGGAAAGAAAGAATTCACTTCTTAAAATTCTTTCAGCAACACTTTATAGTTTTCAGTCTACGAGTCTTTTGCCTCCATCGTTGAATTTATTTCTAAGTATTTCATCCCTTTAGATCCTACTGTAAATAAAATTACTTTCTTAACTTCCTTTTGGGATTTTTAATTGTTAGCATACAGAAATGCAACGGATTTTTATATGTTGATGTTGAAATCTGCAATTTTGTTGGTTTTT